TGAAAAGTTGATGTAGGACTTTATCGTATTTACATTGGGAGTCACCAAGCTGATGCTCGTCGGGAGTGTATCTAACGAGTATTACTAGGGACCAGGCCGACTAGGGTTTATATCCCGTATTTATCAATTACATTATTTGCTCAAGCTATCCCCGATAGCTGGCCCGTCGTAGTTTGTCACCATTTTTGTGTAGGGGTACGATGACACTTTCTTTCCAAATACTTGGTATTTTTTCTTTCTTCCAAACCTGTAGTACGAAGGTGTGCAAGTGTTTGAGAAAAGTTTCTCCTCCATACTTGAGACACTCTGCTGATATTGTGTCATTAACCGGAGCTTTGGTATTTTTCAGCCTGCTGATCGCCTTCTCTCCAACAGTTGTTAATAATAAATACGAATGCTACTTATTATAATTATTCCGAGCTTTTTAACAAACTTGTTCACAGTTATTTAGCGAACAAACACATAATAGATGTTCTAATTTCGAATCAATTGGAGCAAATACAGTGTTTGATGCAAGCGTGTCAATTTATAACTTGTTATAACGGAAAACTATAAATATTCATTTCCAGGTGCACTAATGGCTAAAATTGTTCAGTTAAGTTCATTAAAGAAGTCCATTCAATTAGGTTCAATTACGTTTAAAGACTGGGTTTCATTTTATTGTACGAGCTAGCGTTTTCCGTATATTTATAAAACCATGTCACTACTGCTAGTGATAAATTATTTACATTTACGTTATCATCTTTTCCACTACAGGAACTTTAAAGTCAGAGTTTGCAGCATTTGTTAACTATTGGGGGCTTCAAATTTTGATTACGTAGTTTATAAAATAATTTTCTACTGCGTTCGTTATTTTAATAATTAAATGCTTGTTGGATTTTTACATAACTAAAATAAAATGTGGAAGCAATGAAAATATTTAGGGTAATAAGGCAATACATAAATCTAATTATATTTATTGTTTTTCTTAATCTAAATACAATAAAGTTTGAAAGAACGCATTACTACAAAAAAGCATAAAGATGTGCTTTTATATGTACAGGGTCATAAGGATGGTAAGCGGCTGTATCTTGGAAAGTATATGTTCTAGAGTGAGAATTCAAATAATTAATGTAGGCTTTGGAAGAAAAAATGTTGTTTTATTTTTCCCACTATTTTAAAACTTACTAGATGTAAAACATCTATACTGATAGAGACAATTCCTACTTTAGTTATTTGAATTAGGCAACCCTTATTATTTTCAAGTATTAAATCGGTTCCAGAAATTATTTTGAGATGCGGTTTTTGCGCTATGATTCATTTTTCCTTTGCTTTCGAATTCGTGTAAAATAATTTGATGGTAGCATTTGAAAAACATATTTGTGAAAAATTAAAACAAATAATTTTTTTCGAACAGCGCATTTTTCGAAAATGAGTAAGATTGTTGTTATATCACATATTGTAAAGTTTTTATTGCTCTTTCAATTGATAGTAAAAACTTTGAAATCGGTCAAGCCGTTTCGGAGTTACAGGTTTCTTTGAATTAAGCGGTTTGACTCTCCTCCCACGCTTTATTTGACAAACTTACTAGATATAAGTGAAACCACTTATAGGGACAATTTTTGTATAAAATCGACTTTTTAAAATACCGTTTGCAATTACGCCATCTAGTGGTCATCTGAGAAATTTCAAAATAATTTCCAGCAAATTCTTTTCCTCAAGTTTGTTGTAAATTTTTTTTTTCGATCACTCTACAACACGTATTTTCTAAGATACAGCCGCTTACCATCCTTATTGCGACACCCTGTATTTATGTTTCAATCTTCTGTATAAACGCGGCGTCACAATACGCATCTGTTACAATAGATACATCATTCATATCCTCAGTTCATATCAATAAGGTACCGGAAAACTTTAGCAAATAGATTAATATTGCGCTACATAAATTCTAATATTAATGTGGGCAAATCCCAGCCAATGTCGATTTTATTCCATTTTCCAGTAAAATGTAAAAATAGAAAACGGGAAATAAATAACATGATGCGTGATAGGTATGCGATATATGTATGAATTATTTACTCAAAACCCAGTTAATGTAAAACTAGCAACAAAAAAGTCGTTTTGCGGCTTGAATATTTTCACTCGACTCGGTATGTTAGTTGAATTCGTGCCACTAAGGCGAACTTCTTACATAGTTTATGTACTGTGGTCCCACAACTCGCAAAAACAATCAGATAATAACTAATTTAATGAGACGTGGTTTACGGAGTAAAAGTTTACATGGGAAAAGCAGAAACGCTCTGAAGCCAAGTCAACAATTTCTAAAGGAAGTTGCGCGTATTGTCATATTGTTTAATAAGTGAGAACAAAATGCGAAAGAGCAGTTAAGTTAAGGTGTAAAAAAAATGTTTTTTATTGCCACGGACGGATTTTCGATTTCAGCTCTTTAGTAAATTCATTGATTTTTCATTTCAAATTTTCGTTATAAGTTTGAATGCCAATTCAAAATCAATAAATTAACGTTTTTTAGAAAGTAGTCCGGAAATGAATGAGACATATGGAGTTTTAATTGACCCTTAAAATACCCTTTGATGTCTAAAAGAGCTATTCTAGAACTTTTACGAGGAAACTATATTTCCATATTTATTCTCAAGTACAATACAAGGCTTTTTGCAATCCAAATATAGCTTTTGTGACGGTTTGATACGATCGGGGCTGGGTTGAGGGGTTAAAAGCTGAAAGGTGCATTTTCTATGTACATGTTGAATCAATGTACGCCGATATCGGCTGAAAGTTCACGGTCTTGA